GACCTGGCAAGCGATGTTTCAGAGTGGAGCTCCTTCCTGGTCTCTCTCTCTCTCTCTTCTCAGACCCGTGCACACCCTTCTCTTGAAGCTTCCGCAGCCAACATCCCCTTTCTTCCTTCTTTACCTCTCTTTTGCTGTTCCGCTCTCTTCCTCTCCTCCCTCACTCTTATATTTCGTCCTTTCCCCCCTCTCCTATTCACCTTTCCTCTCACGCTTCTCTCACCCCATTCTCCTTCTCGACTTTATCCACTATTCTTTTGCAGTCTCCCTTACCCATCCCCCCACGCATCCTTCCACAGTTGATCCTCCCTTAGCCTATTCTTCAACATGTGTCTTTTCTTCACTATTGTCGCCTGTAAGTCATGTGGATACAACTCGTCCCTACATATAACATATCCTTCAACAGATCAAAAACAGTTACATTTCACTCCCCAGGTGTTGTATGATTCATACTGGTTTAGCGCATCCCCGTGATTATATTAATCCTGATAAATTCTTTTTGGTAATTTACTGGAGTAACAAATGAGTACAAATATTAAGATTGTCAGCCTGCGCTCAACAGACGGAGGATCGAGCCTCCACCATGGGTATAGCGCTTAACATGAGTTAATAATAAAGTAATTTACTGGCAGTTCCATCATGGTTTTGGGATCCACGTGTTTCTTTTTCCCATGGAAACTCGCTCCAAGATCATTTCTACATATAGGAGTCTCAACTTTGGAAGAAAAATAATCTTTAGAGCCAATTTCAGTTTCCATTAAGTTTCTCTTCCGTTCCATCAAAGACATATTAGTCCTTATCATCTTTTCATCGTCTTTATTAACTACTTCTAAGTCTTCTTTATTAGATGGTCTTCCTTGTAAGCTGGCTATGCAGATATGATTATTAATAAGTATACTTACCTGGAGAGGGTTTCGGATGTCAACGCCCCCGCGGCCCGGTCTGAGACCAGGTCTCGTGGTGGATCAGGGTCTGATCAACCAGGCGGTTACTTAGATTTCATCAACATAACTTTAAGCACTGTAGGATAGCAGGTATTACCGACAAGAAGAGCAGAAAGGTATATGATGCAAAGCAAACCTCTTACTAGAGACAACGTTTCGTTCTACCCAGAGCGATACATCGCCTATTATGAAGTTTTGCTCTATACCGACTCTTATACTTTGCCGCCATTGAGCTTCTGCCATGCCTCCGAGACTTTCCCCTCCTATATGTTGCTGTTTTGCAACATTGTATAGCTCCTGACGATGCACGAGAGTGCGAAAGATCTAGAGCTAAAGATTCGAGTGCACCTAAATCCATAATGTTTTCCATATTTTTATTTTGCCTTATATATATATATATATATATATATATATATATATATATTATATATATATATATATATATATATAACAGAGGAATGAAAATTATGTAATAATAATGACATCTCTAAGAAACTCCAACCTTTTTATATGATCTGTTTTCAGAAATAATTGTTCCCCATTACCCGTTCAATTACCATAACGAAGGCAAACTCCAGAGGCTATTGGATAACTTTAATGGCATTGAAACCCATGGTGAAGAAAAGACATACGTTTCGCAGGAAACTTTTAATGGCACAACGGATCGCTCTATTTAGAGCTTTTAGTCACGATTTTTAATACTCTACAATGAACGAAACGTTCCCATGATGAGAATTTGTTCTGCAGCGGGTGACTACATCGACTCCAGGCTGTGGGACTGATTACCTCAAACTCCTTCTGATGTTCAACTATTCTCTGTATTGGACTGAGGAAGCCACTGTACAGATACCTAAGTGTTGCACATGTGTCTAATTTATCAACATGTCGGTTCTCTGAGCCATTTATCTTCGCTTCGCTAGTGTCAACAAAACGCCATTTCGACTCGAGGAAACCCAACTACATTTGGGACATTTTTGAGAAATTTGATTTGTGTTATCTATTACCTTCACGAAGACTGAGAATATTAATGGAGATTTTATTAGTTAGGTTTAGGATTTGTTGACCTCACGAATTTCATTTGAGCTGCAATTTGCCAGTTTACTAATAAACGGAAAACTTATTCCCTAAAACAGAATGTAAGTTTAAGCGTATATATATACCTCTCAGAGAATGTACACGATGGGATATACGTTTAGGGATATACACCTGTTAGTTTAAATACAAAGAGGGATATTCACCTATCCAATTTTTGTCTTTTCTGCCAAAATGGTTAATTAAGCCAAAACTACAACTTTTTATCTTCTACTTTAATTTTCGCAATGGAATAATAATATACAATGTTTATTCTTATGAATTTACATGGTATTTTTTTGCATAAAAACTAACTTAGCACCCTAACCTAACTAAATCTAACCTGCGCTTAATAAACCATACCACGGGCGGGATAGAACCCGCGGTTAGAGAGTCTCAAAACTCCAGACCGTCGCGTTAGCCACTAGACCAGCTAGCCACAATAAGACTCGTCCAACTAGGTATATTTCTACACCATAGGAAGGTTAGCATAGGCACCACTGTGACCACAAATGCAAGTTTTTACAGACGAATCTCCAGCTAGCGTGGCTGTGACGAACTCTAACTCAAGTCCCCTCACTGCCGTCAACATGACTCACGAAATCGTAATGACACGATTGCAAACAAACCATACCACGGGCGGGATTGAACCCGCGGTCAGAGAGTCTCAAAACTCCAGACCGTCGCGTCGAGTTTTGAGACTCTCTGACCGCGGGTTCAATCCCGCCCGTGGTATGGTTTGTTTGCAATCGTGTCATTACGATTTCGTGAGTCATGCTGCGCTTAATCCACCTTAGCCTATGGTCTGAAAATTCATTTAGCATTGTTTAATATTAATGAAATACGATGCAAATTGGCTTGATCCAAGGAGGAGAAGGATATCTACAATGCTTTGGATCATGAGCCCTTTCCCTGCCACCAGGGCTCCTAGAAGGGAGCCAAAGTGTAGCCGACACGTTATGAACTTAATCAAATATTCCAACCATGGATAATTTTCAGAATCCAATAATTTGCAGATATTTTAGTTACTGGAAACATGGTTCGCTCTAAATGGATACAATTTCACCTCATTATTTGTAATCACACAGTATTGGTATCCAATGTCAATTTATTTTTCATTTAATACGCCAAACTTTTACTTGTTTTTTTTAGGAGAAGCTAACTTTCTACAAATGCAGGAAATTATTTTTTTTTTTGTAACTATAACAAGCAGTAAGTTATTATTGCAGTTTATGTTTCAGTTGCTTGCAGTAAGAGGTCCACGTCACAGTCTTTAAGAAATCATGAAGACAGTTCGTCGGGGCACTAAGACTTAATTTCTTTTAGTAAATCTTCTAGTTTGATTATGTGCGGTGAAATGAAGGAAAAAAAAAACAACAACTTTCTTTTGAGCAGTGTATGATAGAATGTCATGATTTTGTGACATAACACGAAGCGAAGGTTCTTTCCGGTGTCGTGGGACCATCGAAAGACATATCCGTTAACTGTGACCATGAGGAAGGACTCGTCCGCGTGCCAGCACACGGACAAGTCCTTCCTTGCTTCTGTGTCACGTCACGAATAATCAACTTGACTGTGTACCATGACACGAAGAAATGACTTGTTTCTGCACTGTGTCACTAATAATCAATTTCACCGTGATGATTTTTGCACCGTATCACTAATAAACAACATGCCCGTGTGCAGTGACACGGAATAACACGCCTGTACACCGTGTAAGGAACAAAGAAGGCGCTTGCCAAATAATTCCGTGTTCATACAAGCCCTGCGGCATATATTAAAGATTCCTTTATACCGTTCACCATCATATTTTAAACCGATATTAAAACCTACATCAAAAATTGAAAATATCGTCGCCATATTCATTGAAATCCATGAAAACGTGAATAATAAATTTATTTTCTGAATTTGCAGGCTTCCTGCTCATTCATCTGAAATTTACGCTAGCTTGTAAAATAAAATTACGGAAATAATCGAAGAGGTGAGCAATAAAATCCATAATAAAGTGGCTGGAACTACTCGAAACTAACCCACATTAAAAGCCATAAAACTGAGCGGAAGAATTCAAAACTAAGTTGAAGAATTTAAAACTCTAAGAAACTTTAAATGTCAAAGTACCGTAGTTACAACAATTCTCATCTAATCCACATTAAAAAGCCACATCATCATTGCTGGAACAATTCCCAACTAATCCGCATTATAGAGGCGAAATTTTGGATGCTGGTTCGGTTCATCTTGTGGCTGAGAACATTGAGTAAAATACAAATACACTTACTACCTTGCCATTCTCTGCTTTATTGTACTCTGTAATAAAGAAATTAGAACACTACGTCTGAGTAAAGAAAAAGGCAAGAATTGGTGCTTTGTTTACCTATAAACACATTACAGCCTCTATAATTACCTGTATTTACCTGTGGGCCATTATCTATTAATTAGATTTGTTATGGGTCCCCCATTTACTTTGTGCAGCACATCTCGTTTTCTTTGTGCAGTATACCCCTATTTTCTATGTGCAGTATTTATCATTTTCTATGCACAGCATTTACCATTTTCTATGTGAATCATTTACCATTTTCTATGTGCATCATTTACCATTTTCTATGTGCATCATTTACCATTTTCTATTTGCATCATTTACCATTTTCTATCTGCATCATTTACCATTTTCTATGTGCAACGTTTACCATTTTCTATGTGCATCATTTACCATTTTCTATGTGAAAGATTTACCATTTTCTTTGTCCAGTCTATCCCGTCTTTTTGCTGCAAAATCAAATTACATGTGCTGCATATCCCATTTTTTTAACAATATCTCCCCATTTTCATTGTGTCCCCATACTTTTGGCCTTTATCTCCCATTTTTGAAGACTTTCTAAATGAATTTTGATCGAAACAAATAAACTTGTTTATATCACTGATAAAATTAATTTATCAATTAGTACAGAGTCTGTGTATACTAACAGGAATTGTATTCTGTTCTTGCAGGTCTGAGGGAACAGCATTGCCAGAACTACCCACACTTCTGCTCACCTACCACCACCGATACAACCACAACTCCTGCCCCTGAACTTCTAACCCCAGCACTAAAACCATCACTACTGTTCATCTACCACCAATAAAACACCACTCCTACAACCACAACTACTGTTGTTGAACCACCCCCCACCACCTCTACAACCACCACTACTGCACTTCGAAGACCATCATCACTACCACAATCACCACCACCACTACTGGAGCAACAACCCCTCACGGTTTATTACTTGAGAATGACTCATTCGATCGACTTCAACTTATCAGCACTGGTGAACTATAACTAGAAAAAATGACCACGAAACTTTTGGCAAGTGCACATTCCTTCTGGTTAATATAATGCGTACCATTCAAAATTTGGATTTCTGCATAGTAACCTGAGAAAGCTTTTTCCAATCGATTTCAAACTTTCATCACTGTTTTTTTCATATGTAGAAGAAGGTTAGGAGTGCTGTTGGAGTGTGTGGGGACCAAACTGTCAATTTTATGTTCAAAAGAGTATTGTGTTTCTCAATTTGTCAATTTATTAACAGTTCATAAACGCTGAATTGTATTCTATGCGATAACTAGAAAATACATTTTTCGATAGGCTTCAAACTTTTATAGCAGGTATATTTTCACAAAGGAAGATTCACATTGATGTTGAGTTACGTAAGTTTTAAATTGCCAGTTTTAAACAAATTTCAAATTTAAAAAGTAGATAATATTTTTATGATCAACTTCAAACGGAAAATGCTGAAGTATCTTAATTAAGAGAAAAATGTAGAGTGATTTTTGGTGTATGTATATACCAATTTGTGAGTTTTATTGAAGAAATTGTGTTAAGTGTGAAACCGGTTTTCATGCAATAATTTGTGAATGACTAATCCGATCGGCTTCAAACCTTAAACGCTGACAGACTGAGACAGCAATTTCTGAGGCGCTTCAAACTTAATGTGTTGGTGTAATTTGGAATATTTATCTCAGTGCGATAACTGTAAAATGCATCGTCTGATTGGCTTTAAACTTTCAAAGCTGATGCGTCTTAGTGGAAAGTTTAAATTGCTTTTGTGTTTTTTTTGGTCCCAATTTACCTTTTTTTTTTTTTTTAAAGAAACTGGATTATTAGTTTCCATGCAATAACTTGTAAATGCCTCTTCCGACTGGCATCAAACTTTCAACGCTATTTCCCTGCACTAGAAAACGTACTTTTCTTAATGCAAACACTGAGGTGGAATGGGCTAAGCTTATGCATCACGGGGATACCTTTCTTGCGCATAGACTGAAACACATTCAGTTTTGTAATGATTTAAGTGGTACTGTGGATATTTTTTGTGTGTAATTTACGTGATAATGTGAAATAATTATTTGCAGTGATGTGATACCGTGGATAGTTCTTTGCACTGAAAAAAAAAATTAGCAGAAAATGGAAAAAATATGTCGCATTCGATGTGAAAGAAAAGAAAAATTGTATATTTTGAGGTAGTACTTGTGTGGTTAGTGTGTGTGTGTGGCCTGAGCTATGCAGATGAGAGCAGGTGTTGCTGGTAGTGTTAGATGGCTGCCCAGGACTAGAAGGGAGGCTGAGGAAAACAACCGGACTACACAAACTTGTGCTGAGAGAGAACACACCTCCCCACATCTCTCACTCACTAAGTACTCACTTGTTACGTACTCCAGCTGTTGGCTGCACTCACCAGCGGGGTGTGGTTCCCCCTCTACGCCACCACATCAAGGATTACTTCACTTACCTCACAGAAGTACAGGAGTGGCTCACTCAGGACTCTCAGCCAGCACCAGACCTCTAGTGGCAGCCACGGGGTCCTGCCAACTACTACTGATGTTGTTGCTACTCTCATTCTCACTCAGGACAACACAAGCTAAAGGTAACTACTTTCACAAATTGTAACTCCCTCGTTCTTTAAATACAATAGTGAAATTTCTATAGAAAAGTGTGCAATATTAGAATATTAGACACAGCTTTATGAAACAATACGTAAAATACTTCGGAGATGAGTGATAGATACTTAGGACATACTATATATATATATAACAACCAATGTGAAAGGACAGTGAAATTCCAAGCGCTGTCGTGACTTCTCACATTATCAAGGCACTAGAAGATATAGTTCCTTGATAATGTGAGAAGTCACGAAAGCGCTTGGAATTTCACTATCCTTTCACTGTGGTTGTTTTGCATATTGTGATATCACCTGTTTACTGTGATCTTACTGCTTTATATATATATATATATTATATATATATATATATATATATATTATATATATATATATATATATATATATATATATATATATATATATCAAGAGTAACTCTGCGACTAGCCGGGGGATCGAACCCGTGTTGTTTTAGCCTGCCTCATGGTGAGCGAAAATTCACGACTCCCTAACTCACTGGGCCATATAATCCTACAAAGGTCACGCACCCAGCAGAGCTAGGTGTTGTACCGTGATCCGACGACATACGATGGTGTGGGTGCCTCAGGGCTAATTTCATTCTACTCCCCGTTTGGTGTAGTAGCCTCCAAACGGGGAGTAGAATGAAATTAGTTCTGAGGCAACCACACCATCGTATATCCTCGGATCAAGTGATCCTCGTAGGATTGTATGGTTCAGTGGGTTAGAGTGTCGTGAATTTTCACTCACTATGAGGCGGGCTAAAACAACACGGGTTCAATTCCCCGCCTAGTCGCAGTCTTTCATTTAAATACGATTCACAAAAAAAATCCATTCTTTGGCACAGAACATTTAGGCGACATTTCGACTAATCCAGGACCATTATCGTGATTTAATAATGGTACATTGTTCCAGCTATTATATTAAACTTTTATTGTACATGAAAAAATAAGATATATCGTGAAGTCGTGTATGTCTAGAAGACCCACACGTTATGATCTTTAAATTAATGATTTGTCTTTAACCTCAATCAAGCTTATTAAAATTGTAACTTGTTCCTTTTGTTCAGTGAGAACTTATTGAGGATGTGTATTCTAACTAGTATTATTGAAGTTACACTCATCAACACTCATCAATCTGGACTTTGTATCAGGGGATTATCTTACCTTATTGCGGTTTATTTTGGCTTGTTCCATCAATGAAAATAAAAGTTTGTTGATAAACACACACACACACGGGCAGGAACCATACATAGCTTTAAGATGAGGTATGATAAAGTGCATGGAGCAGGGGGAGAGAGAGGACCTTGTAGTTCAGTGATGAGGCGTTGCCAGGAGCTGAATCTCGACCCCTGCAACCACAATTAGGTGAGTACATATATATATCTTGAAATGCACTTTTCAAAAGTATTTTTCTAATATATGCTTTTCAAAGTATATTTTATAACATATTTTCTGAAATATTTTTTTAAAACATATGTTTCAAGCATGTATTACGACGTATGTTTTTTAGCGATTATTTTACGACGCAAGTTCTAAAACAATCCTGTTTATATTTTCGACGCTCACATAAATGGTGGTAATTTCCCCTTAATTGACAAATTAGGTAGCTGACACGAGCGACTGTCAGTGGTGGAGGAATTCCAACAACTCCAAGCTTCAGGTTTGTTGCGAGGAACTCTTGATCCACCTCGCGCTTTCCAAACCTGCACATTCCGGGTAAGTCAGAAACCTAGAATTTTGTGTCGGGCCATTTGGAACTCAAGAATTACTGTACATGTAACTACTAATGGTAACCGCTTGTCAGGGGTCTCATACTGACCGCGAGAATACTGTCATCACTTATAAGTTATGACTAGCAGTTGCTGCCTTGCTACAATGCATAGCTCCTGATGACGCACTGGGAAGTGTGAAAGTACTTGAGCTAAAGATTTCCATCCCCGGTGGCTTGTCTTGAATAGTTAAGATCGCCTGTCTGAGATTGTTTGCACACACACATTATATATATAAATATATATATATATATATATATATATATATATATATATATATATATATATATATATATATATATATATATATATATATGCAAAACAACCACTCTGAAAGAATAGAGAAATTCCAAGCGCTTTCGTGACTACTCACATTATCAAGGAACTTGATAATGTGAGTAGTCACGAATGCGCTTGGAATTTCTCTATTCTTCCAGAGTGGTTGTTTTGCATATTTTGGAAATCACCTGTTTACTGTGATCTTATTGCATATATATATATATATATATATATATATTATATATATATATATATATATATATATATATATATATATATATATATATATATATATATATATATATATGGGTTGAACCTCTTCCGATGAAGGAATATCTGCGTATCTCTTAAAATTTTTATAGGCTATACTCACGCTACTGGCTTGCCTGCACAAACTACCCCAGAAAACGAGGTGAGAAAATTACTTTGAACTACAACGACACAAAAGAAAGTCAACCTGGAAACAGTGTGGCAACCACCCAAGGCGGTACTATATTAATGTCATGCGAGTGTGAAACGGAATCCTGCTCAACGTTTCGCACTCCGGCAAGTTAATGGTCTTTTCTCTCTCTCACAAATATGCAAGATAGGAGGAAGTAAAGATAATGTTCTACTTTCAGTATAAAATTATCTTTACTCTCCAGGATCTTCCTGGATAATAATAAATCCTGAAACATTTTCTTACTAATTTAGGAGCACTGATTTAAGCCGGGATCACGGGGGAAATAATCCCCGGAACCATTAACAGATATAACTGAAAACAAAAGAATATTTCATATCATCATCAGAAGAGTTCTTTTACACCGTTGAATTTACAGCCAAAGAACTTTTACAATGCCTCTCCTCCTTTCAAAACCCAGCCCTGTCTAAGATATATTACAACTTATGAGATGATACCCAAACAGTCGACCGGGACCCAGGTACCTGTTTACTATCAGCCCTGTCTAAGGTATAAAGCAACTTCATGGATGACACCCACAGCAGTCGATCAGGAGCCAGGCACCTGTTTATTTCCGGCTTTAATGTATATTAGAGCATACGAGGATGACACCTCCAACAGTCTACCAGGACGCAGGTACCTGTCAACTGCATCGCATGATAGACAACATAACTATCATGCATCGCATGATAGATCAACATAACTGATGTCCCTCGCATGATACGTCAACATAACTGACGTCCGTCGCATGATAGAGCAACGTAAATGGCGTCAATTGCATGATAAGCATAACTAACGTCCATTGCATGATGGCTGATCTGTCAGCAACTCAAAATTGTTTTGCCACAGAGCAGCAACACTAAGGCTGTGAATATAATAGTATACGATACCGACAAGTTGATAAGACATGTTCAACAGTTAGGTATCTTTATTCCGAAACGTTTCGCCTATACAGTAGACTTCTTCAGTCGAATACAGACAGCAAAAACAGTAGAGATGTAAAGACAATGTAATCAGTCCATCACCCTTAAAGACATAAGAAAATGTTGCACATATGCCTTATTAACCCGAAAGCTTTGAGTGGGATTAAAGTACGTTTCGATCACCGGTACGGGTGGAAACATTTGGGCATGTTTCCTTAAGACACCTGCTATCCCTGTTCACCTAGCAGTAAGTAGGTACCCGGGTGTTAGTCGACTGATGTGCGGTCCTATCCTGGTAGACAAAATTAATCTAAGTTGCCCGAAATGCTCTGCATAACCAGGGACTTTCTATACAGTATGTCACTGATGTCAGCTATGGTCTGTACAAGTTGTATCATGTTATTATTATTATTATTATTATTATTATTATTATTATTATTATTATTATTATTATTATTATGACGAAAAAACTCTTTACAGAACACGATTTTTATGGCGACTATGTTTCGCTCTGTGGAGAACTCTCCATACGACTCTACGCTATGGAAAACGTTCCACAATAAACACTAAGAAATCGTATTAAAACCAGTGTGGAAAGGGTGAGTCCTGCAGGCGAGTGATGCAGTGAAGTTCGATCCAAGGATTGGGAGGGGTAGCTCCAGTTTTTTGGATCGAGAGCGATTTATCAGAATCGTGGAACGCCCCGTTGAAGGGAAGTGAGATCAGAAATAGGTCAGAGAGCGAGATAAAGCAATTACCGTCTTCTTCCAGGACACAGCTTCATTAAGGAAAGTAATTAATGAAGGCTATGGAGTGCAGTGTTGTAGTGTTTCAGAACCCCGTGTTGTGGTGTGTTAGAACCCAGTGTTGTGGTGTGTTAGAACCCAGTGTTGTGGTGTGTTAGAACCCAGTGTTGTGGTGTGTTGGAACCCAGTGTTGTGGTGTGTTGGAACCCAGTGTTGTGGTGTGTCGGAACCCAGTGTTGTTGTGTGTTGGAACCCAGTGTTATGGTGTGTTAGAACCCAGTGTTGTGGTGTGTTAGAACCCAGTGTTGTGGTGTGTTGGAACCCAGTGTTGTGGTGTGTTGGAACCCAGTGTTGTGGTGTGTTAGAACCCAGTGTTGTGGTGCGTTAGAACCCAGTGTTGTGGTGTGTTAGAACCCAGTGTTGTGGTGTGTTGGAACCCAGTGTTGTGGTGTGTTGGAACCCAGTGTTGTGGTGTGTTAGAACCCAGTGTTGTGGTGTGTTAGAACCCAGTGCTGTGGTGTGTTAGAACCCAGTGCTGTGGTGTGTTAGAACCCAGTGCTGTGGTGTCTTAGAACCCAGTGCTGTGGTGTGTTAGAACCCAGTGTTGTAGTGTGTTGGAACCCAGTGTTGTGGTGTGTTGGAACTCAGTGTTGTGTGTGTTAGAACCCAGTGTTGTGGTGTGTTGGAACCCAGTGTTGTGGTGTGTTGGAACCCAGTGTTGTGGTGTGTTAGAACCCAGTGTTGTGGTGTGTTAGAACCCAGTGTTGTGGTGTGTTAGAACCCAGTGCTGTGGTGTGTTAGAACCCAGTGCT